GGGATGCCAGGGGTGGGGTCCAGCACGGGAGGGATGCCAGGGGTGGGGTCCAGCACGGGAGGGATGCCAGGGGTGGGGTCCAGCACGGGAGGGATGCCAGGGGTGGGGTCCAGCACGGGAGGGATGCCAGGGGTGGGGTCCAGCACGGGAGGGATGCCAGGGGTGGGGTCCAGCACGGGAGGGATGCCAGGGGCGGGGTCCAGCACGGGAGGGATGCCAGGGGTGGGGTCCAGCACGGGAGGGATGCCAGGGGCGGGGTCCAGCACGGGAGGGATGCCAGGGGCGGGGTCCAGCACGGGAGGGATGCCAGGGGTGGGGTCCAGCACGGGAGGGATGCCAGGGGTGGGGTCCAGCACGGGAGGGATGCCAGGGGTGGGGTCCAGCACGGGAGGGATGCCAGGGGTGGGGTCCAGCACGGGAGGGATGCCAGGGGTGGGGTCCAGCACGGGAGGGATGCCAGGGGTGGGGTCCAGCACGGGAGGGATGCCAGGGGTGGGGTCCAGCACGGGAGGGATGCCAGGGGCGGGGTCCAGCACGGGAGGGATGCCAGGGGCGGGGTCCAGCACGGGAGGGATGCCAGGGGCGGGGTCCAGCACGGGAGGGATGCCAGGGGCGGGGTCCAGCACGGGAGGGATGCCAGGGGTGGGGTCCAGCACGGGAGAGATGCCAGGGGTGGGGTCCAGCACGGGAGGGATGCCAGGGGCGGGGTCCAGCACGGGAGGGATGCCAGGGGCAGGGTCCAGCACGGGAGGGATGCCAGGGGTGGGGTCCAGCACGGGAGGGATGCCAGGGGTGGGGTCCAGCACGGGAGGGACGCCAGGGGTGGGGTCCAGCACGGGAGGGACGCCAGGGGCAGGGTCCAGCACGGGAGGGATGCCAGGGGTGGGGTCCAGCACGGGAGGGATGCTAGGGGTGGGTCCAACACGGGAGCGATGCCAGGGGCAGGGTCCAGCACAGGAGGGATGCCAGGGGTGGGGTCCAGCACAGGAGGGATGCCAGGGGCAGGGTCCAGCACAGGAGGGATGCCAGGGGTGGGGTCCAGCACGGGAGGGATGCCAGGGGCAGGGTCCAGCACAGGAGGGATGCCAGGGGCGGGGTCCAGCACAGTAGGAATGCCAGGGGCAGGGTCCAGCACAGGAGGGATGCCAGGGGTGGGGTCCAGCATAGAAGGGATGCCAGGGGTGGGGTTCAGCACGGGAGGGATGCCAGGGGTGGGGTCCAGCACAGGAGGGATGCCAGGGGTGGGGTCCAGCACAGGAGGGATGCCAGGGGTGGGGTCCAGCACAGGAGGGATGCCAGGGGTGGGTTCCAGCACAGGAGGGATGCCAGGGGTGGGGTCCAGCACAGGGGGGATGCCAGGGGTGGGGTCCAGCACAGGAGGGATGCCAGGGGTGGGGTCCAGCACAGGAAGGATGCCAGGGGTGGGGTCCAGCACAGGAGGGATGCCAGGGGTGGGGTCCAGCACAGGAGGGATGCCAAGGGTGGGGTCCAGCACAGGAGGGATGCCAGGGGTGGGGTCCAGCACGGGAGGGATGCCAGGGGTGGGGTCCAGCACGGGAGGGATGCTAGGGGTGGGGTCCAGCACGGGAGGGATGCCAGGGGTGGGGTCCAGCACGAGAGGGATGCCAGGAGCAGGGTCCAGCACGGGAGGGATGCCAGGGGCAGGGTCCAGCACAGGAGGGATGCCAGGGGTGGGGTCCAGCACGGGAGGGATGCTAGGGGTGGGGTCCAGCACGGGAGGGATGCTAGGGGTGGAGTCCAGCACGGGAGGGATGCCAGGGGTGGGTCCAGCACGGGAGGGATGCCAGGGGTGGGGTCCAGCACGGGAGGGATGCCAGGGGTGGGGTCCAGCACAGGAGGGATGCCAGGGGCAGGGTCCAGCACAGGAGGGATGCCAGGGGTGGGGTCCAGCACAGGAGGGATGCCAGGGGTGGGGTCCAGCACAGGAGGGATGCCAAGGGCAGGGTCCAGCACAGGAGGGATGCCAGGGGTGGGGTCCAGCACAGGAGGGATGCCAGGGGTGGGGTCCAGCACGGGAGGGATAGCAGGGGTGGGGTCCAGCACGGGAGGGATGCCAAGGGCAGGGTCCAGCACAGGAGGGATGCCAGGGGTGGGGTCCAGCACGGGAGGGATGCCAGGGGTGGGGTCCAGCACGGGAGGGATGCCAGGGGTGGGGTCCAGCACGGGAGGGATGCCAGGGGTGGGGTCCAGCACAGGAGGGATGCCAAGGGCAGGGTCCAGCACAGGAGGGATGCCAGGGGCAGGGTCCAGCACAGTAGGGATGCCAGGGGCAGGGTCCAGCACAGGAGGGATGCCAGGGGTGGGGTCCAGCACAGGAGGGATGCCAGGGGTGGGGTCCAGCACAGGAGGGATGCCAGGGGTGGGGTCCAGCACAGGAGGGATGCCAGGGGTGGGGTCCAGCACAGGAGGGATGCCAGGGGTGGGGTCCAGCACGGGAGGGATGCCAGGGGTGGGGTCCAGCACGGGAGGGATGCCAGGGGTGGGGTCCAGCACGGGAGGGATGCCAGGGGTGGGGTCCAGCACAGGAGGGATGCCAAGGGCAGGGTCCAGCACAGGAGGGATGCCAGGGGCAGGGTCCAGCACAGTAGGGATGCCAGGGGCAGGGTCCAGCACAGGAGGGATGCCAGGGGTGGGGTCCAGCACAGGAGGGATGCCAGGGGTGGGGTCCAGCACAGGAGGGATGCCAGGGGTGGGTCCAGCACAGGAGGGATGCCAGGGGTGGGGTCCAGCACAGGAGGGATGCCAGGGGTGGGGTCCAGCACGGGAGGGATGCTAGGGGTGGGGTCCAGCACGGGAGGGATGCCAGGGGTGGGGTCCAGCACGGGAGGGATGCCAGGGGCAGGGTCCAGCACAGGAGGGATGCCAGGGGCGGGGTCCAGCACAGTAGGAATGCCAGGGGCAGGGTCCAGCACAGGAGGGATGCCAGGGGTGGGGTCCAGCATAGAAGGGATGCCAGGGGTGGGGTCCAGCACGGGAGGGATGCCAGGGGTGGGGTCCAGCACAGGAGGGATGCCAGGGGTGGGGTCCAGCACAGGAGGGATGCCAGGGGTGGGGTCCAGCACAGGAGGGATGCCAGGGGTGGGTTCCAGCACAGGAGGGATGCCAGGGGTGAGGTCCAGCACAGGAGGGATGCCAGGGGTGGGGTCCAGCACAGGAGGGATGCCAGGGGTGGGGTCCAGCACAGGAGGGATGCCAGGGGTGGGTTCCAGCACAGGAGGGATGCCAGGGGTGGGGGTCCAGCACAGGAGGGATGCCAGGGGTGGGGTCCAGCACAGGAGGGATGCCAGGGGTGGGGTCCAGCACAGGAAGGATGCCAGGGGTGGGGTCCAGCACAGGAGGGATGCCAGGGGTGGGGTCCAGCACAGGAGGGATGCCAGGGGTGGGGTCCAGCACAGGAGGGATGCCAGGGGTGGGGTCCAGCACGGGAGGGATGCCAGGGGTGGGGTCCAGCACGGGAGGGATGCTAGGGGTGGGGTCCAGCACGGGAGGGATGCCAGGGGTGGGGTCCAGCACGAGAGGGATGCCAGGAGCAGGGTCCAGCACGGGAGGGATGCCAGGGGCAGGGTCCAGCACAGGAGGGATGCCAGGGGTGGGGTCCAGCACGGGAGGGATGCTAGGGGTGGGGTCCAGAACGGGAGGGATGCTAGGGGTGGAGTCCAGCACGGGAGGGATGCCAGGGGTGGGGTCCAGCACGGGAGGGATGCCAGGGGGGGGGTCCAGCACGGGAGGGATGCCAGGGGTGGGGTCCAGCACAGGAGGGATGCCAGGGGCAGGGTCCAGCACAGGAGGGATGCCAGGGGTGGGGTCCAGCACAGGAGGGATGCCAGGGGTGGGGTCCAGCACAGGAGGGATGCCAAGGGCAGGGTCCAGCACAGGAGGGATGCCAGGGGTGGGGTCCAGCACGGGAGGGATGCCAGGGGTGGGGTCCAGCACGGGAGGGATAGCAGGGGGGGGGTCCAGCACGGGAGGGATGCCAAGGGCAGGGTCCAGCACAGGAGGGATGCCAGGGGTGGGGTCCAGCACGGGAGGGATGCCAGGGGTGGGGTCCAGCACGGGAGGGATGCCAGGGGTGGGGTCCAGCACGGGAGGGATGCCAGGGGTGGGGTCCAGCACAGGAGGGATGCCATGGGCAGGGTCCAGCACAGGAGGGATGCCAGGGGTGGGGTCCAGCACGGGAGGGATAGCAGGGGTGGGGTCCAGCACGGGAGGGATGCCAAGGGCAGGGTCCAGCACAGGAGGGATGCCAGGGGTGGGGTCCAGCACAGGAGGGATGCCAGGGGTGGGGTCCAGGACGGGAGGGATACCAGGGGTGGGGTTCAGCACAGGAGGCATGCCAGGGGTGGGGTCCAGCACGGGAGGGATGTCAGGGGTGGGGTCCAGCACGGGAGGGATGCCAGGGGTGGGGTCCAGCACGGGAGGGATGCCAGGGGTGGGGTCCAGCACGGGAGGGATGCCAGGGGTGGGGTCCAGCACAGGAGGGATGCCAGGGGTGGGGTCCAGCACAGGAGGGATGCCAGGGGTGGGGTCCAGCACAGGAGGGATGCCAGGGGTGGGGTCCAGCACAGGAGGGATGCCAGGGTGGGGTCC